TCTCAGCTGCAGAGGGCAGTGTCACTGGCCCTCATATGTGGGATCCGAACCGGGGCCCTCTGGCATCCCAAGCGAGTTCTTAACCATCGTGCCACTCGGCCGGCCCGACCATTAACTTTTTTTTTATTTTATTTTCTGAGATTCTGTTTTCTTAGTTATAATGCGTGGGTATTATAAAAGTATCTATCTTGGATTATTGTTGGAATTCACTCACATAATGATATAAATCACTTAGCAGCAATTAGCACATAGTAATGAGACAATAAATATAAGCATTGCTACTACTATTATTTAAGTGGATAGAGTCCTGGTCTATTAATAAATGAGAGGCGAGAGCTAGTTCTGGCTGATACATGCTCCTGAATTTTGTTTTGCTCTCTCTGTACAATGGTAGAGCGAAGGGGATGGGAGCAAATGATCTTTTAAGATTCCCTTTGTTCTTCTATGTGAAGACTTTGAGTCTCTAACATTCTAAGATTACATTGACTGTTGAAGCGTCTGTAAGTGCTTGTTTCAAGATTCTGAGGTTAAGATTCTATAACTGAGATTCTCTTTCTGGGATTCCAGGATCCCATGACTCACTCAAAATTCTATTGAAAGATTCCATTTGCATGGCATGAAAGCTCTTCTAAACCTGGCAGAAGTTAGCCTGACTAGCTCTTACTATTCTTGTGGGTTTCTCCTTAAATAATACTTCTTCAGAAATTCCTTCCAAATCCTTCCTCCAGTGCACTGTATACACCCCTTCCCATGTCTGTCCTATTATCCTGTTCTTTCCGATCATAACAGAGTCCTTATTGGTAATCAGATATTTGTATGATTTGGTTAATGTCTGTCTTTATGTCTCTATTGCTTGGTAAAGTAGGTTCTCAATAAATAGTTGATGAATGATAAATAAATGAATGATTGACTTCTACGAGTCAAAGATTCCATGAGTATTTAGTCCCAAGGTCTACTATTCCGGACCCTCCCTCCCACTCCACCCCTACCCTCCACCCCAGCCATCCTGAGGGCCAACACCCAGGAAGAGAATGAACTTTCCAATTCCTGGCTGTTTTTGGTCCCATCCCCTTTGCTCCCCACCCCTCCATTATTTGCCTCTTTGGGATCCCTTGGACTAGAGAGAAGGTTAGGCTGTGTCTCTGCTGTTGAAACCATCCTGGAGCAGTTCATTCATTCATCATTCAGCAAATGTTTGTCTAGTGTCCACAAAGTGCCAGGCCCTGTGCTAAGGGACTGGGACAAAGGGCGAGCAAAGCAGATCTGGTCCCCGTTTCCACAGCTCACACCTTAGAAGACCGGAGATGGACATTCATGACGTAATCACACAAATTCTCATAAAATTACAAACCATGAAAGTGCTGTGGGATGGAGAAGAATAGGGTGTTCTGAGAGTGTGCAACAGCCCACAATCTAGATCAAGGCCACAGCGGGGCGTTCTCCAGGGCCCTGAACTGGTCCCTTATGCCCATTATCTGGGACATCTGGATACTCACTGTCCTCGGGAAACCTCTCCCTGAGAAATGATCAGGGAGAACCTGGGTTCAAAGTGGTGATGTGCCAAGCTCCCCGCACTACCCTTGAGAGTACTGTATCCATCAGGCTGGAAGCTAAATCATCACATTTCAGAGCTCTTCCCCTCCTTGCAGGATTCGGTCACTGAAAAGAGAATCAAATCCCTGAAAGGCCAGAACGGTAGGTGTCCAGCACCCTCCTCGAACAGATGGAGAAGATGAGGCTGCTCAAGGTCACACAGTAAGTGGCAAAGTGAGAATGGGACCCCAAGTTCCCCAAGCTCCCCCTTCTCTGCTGCTTCCTATGCCCCACACTACCTCTGTCCTTCCAAGAATGACTGCTGAGTGGACGGAGAAAGAATCCTGTTTCAACCTCAAGCCAGGAGGGGGTTCTACCAGCTACAAGCACTAGTTAGTTAGGGTGCAGACAAAGCCCTGCAGGACAGGAAGGGGCGTAAGGCTACATTTGGAGGGATTTGCTCTGTGGTGTTTACTTAGGGCACAAACATACATGAGCGAAAATACATCCAGTGACATGTCCGGGTTGAATACCAGGCTTTCATTTAACAAATGTTTTCTTCAAGGAACTGTAGCTATTTGAATCTGGAAATGCTAGTTCTTGCTCCTTGCTGCTTTTTTTCCAATAGCAAAACATGAAAACAGCCTAAATTGAAACAAGCCATAGAATATTATATAGCACTTTAAAAACTCTAAAGGTCGGTCTACATAAGGGGCCAAGGAACATTGTTGAAATAAAAAAAAATAAGTAAAAACAAGAAAAATATATACAGTGTAAAACCATCTGAAGCTTCATCTATCATTTTTTTGAGAATGAATTCATTTACATATTATTTACTTAAAAAAATTTTTTAGAAAAAAAAATACATTTTAGAAGTACCATCCTTTAGAGCAAGGGTTGACAATGTTTTTCTGCAAAGACCCAGACAGGAAATATTTTAGCTCTGTGGGCCACATGTCACTGTCACAGCTACTCCATTCAGCTGTCATAGTGCAAAAACAGACCCAGAAAGCACTCATGAGAGTGTGTGGCTGCTTTCCAATATAACTTTATTTATGGACACTGAAATTTGAATTTCATATAATTTGCATGTGTCACCCAACATTTTTTAACCATTTAAAAATGTTAAAAACCATTTTTAGCTCATAGGTTTTGCAAAAGCCAGCCGCCAGAAGATTTGGCCCCAGAGGCAGTAGCCAAGCCCTGCTGTAAGTCTAGTTCAAGCCCCAGCTCCCTTCTAGCCATACTCACCTATTTGTCCTCAAATATCCCTGTCCTTCAGCTGCCCCCGCCCCCCCCCATGACCCTCCTATGACCTTCAATAGCTTCTGCCACTGCCTCCCAGTCTGTCTGCCCTTGGCGACCCTCTCTCCTGGCTGCAGGACTGTTTTTTCCTGACCGGGACTCTGAATAGCTCCATTCACCTTGGCAGGGAAACGCAGAGAAAGGAATTTTGTTTGGAGTCCTGAAGAAGCCAGGACTCAGGATTTTGATTTGCCTTTGAAATCAGGCCCCCTCCCCTCCCATTTCCAGGGGCCTCCCTCAGTCACTTCCCTGCTCACCCCCTGCCAGCCCCAACAGTCTCCCTTGAAGCCCCTGTCACCAGCCATATCACAGCCACATCAGCACTCAGCATCGTAGCTCCAGGTCGCTCACCATGGACCGCAGAGCCCTCTGTTTCCTGTCCTGTTGCCTGCTCATCTGTGTGATTTCAGGTATGGGCCTCTCCTTCCATCTCAGCAAACCTTTTACTCCCCTGGGACATCCTGAGGACCCCCCTACCTCCCAGCCCCAGCCCTGCTGCCTCTGCCTTTCCCACCCTGTTGAAAGCATGGGGGAAGGGAGTGAACACTGCAACCCTAGCACCAGTAGTCAGAGTTCTAAGCTCAAGTAGAGGACTACTCCCTGTCTGTGGCGCCCGTGGCGGGGTGCTGTCACCTCTGGGAACTAGCTTCCTCATCTGTACAATGACAAGGATGGACTGCATGATCTTTCAAGCCCTTTCCAGACCCAACAGGCCTCTCTGATCTGAAAGTCAGAGGCTATCATTAAGTCTAGTCATGATTTAGATTCAGGGGGTGGTTCAAGCATAGGGAACTCTGAAATCTGACAGAACAAAGCCTGGCTCCTCCACTGACTGGCAAGATTTAATGAAACGAAGTCTCTAAGACTCAGTGTATTCAGCAGTAAAGTGGCAATAATAGTAATCTCAAAATTATAGGGTGGTTTTGAGGATTAAATGATGTAATGTACATAAACATTTGGCCTGGAGTCAGTAAGTGGTGGCAATATTATTTTAATTTTAAAGACCCTGCTAACACCTGAACATATCAAGATTGTATAATTCTAAGAGTCTTGAGTGTTTATTTCTAGGTTCTTTGACTCTAAGAGCCTATGATTTTGCTCACAAAGGTCAACAGTTTGAGGGCTCCATCAGGCACAGCCTGAAAACTTTCTAGCCCAGAACCTGATAGAAGATAGATCCTTAGGGAAGGCTAATGCCCCAGGGAGACCCTCCCTCCATCTCCCTGCTTCCAGCCATCCCAGGAAGAGCCTGGGACTGGGATAATCTCTGCAAGAGAATGGCTGGGCTCAAAACAGGATTTAGACAGATATTACCCCAAACTTCCTCTTCCAGACGCTGGCCATTGGCGATATTCCCACTTGGTGCTGCTGTCAGGTGTTATTTAGGGACCTCAGGTGGAAAGGAAAGGGCAGGCACCCTCCTGGTCAGGCAGTAGCAGTTTAGCGAAGGGTTGATGGTTAAGATTGGAGGATTTATTTGTAGGAGGCTGGGGGATGCTGGAGGTGATGTGATCTCAGACATTTAGAACCTGGGCACTGAGAAGGAGCCTTGAGAGTCATCTGGTCCAGGATTTAAAGACTACACTCGGAGGCACTGTTTCTATTTCTGCCTGCCTTGGGGTGAGGGAGAGAAAAGGGAAGTGATTGAAAAGCTGGATGGGTGAGTTTCAGGCCTCTGTCCCTTTTAACCAAAACAACCCTATTATTATTTTCTATTGTTGGCCTTTCAGTATTTCAAGAGTGGGTTCTGTTATCTAGAATCTATTGATTGTGGTATTTTTGGGGGGGTGTTAACCAATTTTATTTCTAGATATTTAATTGGTTTGTTTTTAAATTTGAAAAATCTCTGGTTTAGTCCAACCTCTTCATTTTATAAATGTAAAAACTGAGACCCAGAGACAGCAAAATAATTAACACAAAGAGGTAGCATCAGACAGGATCCCTCTAATTTGATGACTTTGGACAAACTACATGACACTTAAGTTTCCTCATCTGTAAAATGGGGCTGTCAGTGAAAGCTTCCTGGTAGGGCTTTGTAAGTGTTAGATAAGATAATGAATGCATGGATAGCACTCTGCACAGTGCCAGGGCACCCAATAATTTTTAGTTATAATCATTATCATCATCATCGGGTCCTGAAATCAAACTTGACATCTTCCTTAAGTTTGCCTAGGTGCCTGACCTGTTGGCTTAACAAGCCCAGAAGCTCCAAAGCTGTAGACATCTTGTGATCGCTCCCAGAGAGCACCTTGCCACATGGTCCCACAACCCTCAGTCCTGGGAGTCGGAGCCTTTGCAAATGAAGATGGCTTTACAGCCACTCTGTAACCAGGGCTCCTGGTGGGCCCTGTCAGATCTGCCCGGAACAGCCCCAGCTCTGGGAGCCACTCGAATCCAACCCTCAGTCAGATTTCAACTCCAGACCAAATAGGATTCCAGGCCCCAAATCCAGAGACTGCCCCTAGCTAGCTGCTCTGACAGTAGCGTCTCAATTAGGGCAATCAAAGAGCCAGCAGTAGTCCTGGCCCCTTTCTTATCCTGCCCGCTGATTGGCTTGCTTCTGCTTCATGAAAAGCCTCCATCTACAGATGTTGGGCTATTAAAACATTATCTTTGTATTTAAAAAATACACTATTTGTGGCAAGCAGAATAATCTGCTCCCAAAGGTGTCCACATTCTAATCCCCAGAACCTTCCATGGCAAAGAGGAGTTAAGGCTGCAGGTGGAATTAAGGTTGCTAATCAGCCGACCTTAAAATTTTAGGGAGGGTATTCTGGATCATTCACCCAGTGTAATCACAAGCATCCTTAAAAGTAGAAGAGAGAGTCAGACAAGAGAGCCAGAACGAGACAGCACATGGGAAGACTTGGTCCAACATCGTGGGCTTTGAAGATGGAGAAATAGGGCCACTGCTAAGGAATAGGGGCAGCTTCTAGACACTGGAAAAGTCAAGGAACAGATTTTCCAAGAGCCTCCAGAAGGAAGGCAGCCCTCCTGACACCCTGATTTTAGCCCAGGGAGACCCACATCACACTTCTGACCCCTGGAAGTCTAAGATAATTAATTTGTGTTGCTTTTAGCCACTGAGTTTGTGGCAATCTGTTATAGCCACAATAGAAGTGATTACATTTTTTTGTGATGACAATTATTTATTGAGCTCCTATTATATGCCAGGCACTGTGCTTCCCATATATCATCTCATTTAGTATACATAATACAGGCATGCATACCTTGGAGCTATCGCACATTCGGTTCCAGAACACTGTAATAAAAACGAGTATCACAATACAGTGAGTTGTCATCCTTTTGGTGGTGGAGGGTTTTGCCTTCAGTTTGTAAAAAAGCAAAACAAAACAAAAACACAACGCTGGTGAAGCACAATACAGGGAAGCGCCATCAAATGAGGTGCACCTGTAATCCTGCAAGGCAGCTGCTCTTGTTCCCATTTTCTAAATGAAGAGAACATGGCTCAGGGAAATCAGGTGACTTGCCCAAGGTCACACAGCTGGTCTGTAGCAGAGCCAAGGCTGAAAGCCCAGCACCGCTGGCGTGGACGTCCCTGTCCCATCAGCTGGCTCAGGTTCACCACCCCTCCTCTGGATTGGCCTAGATACTGCCTTAGAGCGTCTTTGTTTCTAGCTGCCAGCATTCAGTGTTCTCTAGGTCACCATGTTAATACGTTGAGTGAGCCCAGCTGTTCTCTGAGGATTAGTTTCTCAACCTGTAAAAGGGGTTATAAATGCTCTCCAGATGCCTTCATGATTAAATTACAATGTGTGTGTCCTTCATTTTGTTGTGTTTTGTTTTTGCCCATTGGGTACGTGTATGTGTTGGTGATGGTGGTTGGAGGCCATAAAAAGGACAATTGCTAAACTCTACTGGGACCTTTTCTATTCCTGCTGCCCAAGCACTATTCCAGACCCCTTGTCCTGATTTCCCCCTGCCACCCCCACCAATGATGGGGAGGCCCAACGCTTTTGTAACATGATGGTTTAAGGAGATGTATCTGATGTTGCTTGTGAGGTAGCTTAGGAGCCAAAAGACTAGTTAGGTGGGAGCTACAACGATGGTCTGGAGGTGATCTGATCAGGGCTTGCACTGAGAGGTGTTAGCAGTGGGGACAGAGAGAAAAGGATGCTTCTGGGAACTAACTACTAGAAGGAAAAGAAAGAGCTTCAGGACTTGGTGCAAATAGTACAACCTTCTCTGTATGAAGAGAAGATTTGGGGCTGGGGTGGCCGGCAGGCATATGAAATGATTCCACTTCCTCTTCCACAAGGAAGAAACATTAGATCAGTTGGTAAAAGTTGAAGATAGTGGGTTAATATCTGCGAGGACTTTCTAGCAGTCAGAGCCATGTGGCACTGAGATACTCCTCTGGTGGAATTACCATCGGCTCTGGAGTCAGACTGACCTGGGTTAGAGTTCAAGGTCTCCTACTCCCTAGCACTGTATCTTGGGGAGGTTAGCCTCTGTGAGCATCAAGTTCCTCACCTGTAAAAGCAGAATAATTCTTACTTAGCAGCCATTAAGAGGATGAAATAAGAAAATACATGTAACGGGGCTCGTAGTGTTCCACAAACACTGTAGGCTCCATCCATGGTAGCTATTGGTATTATTAAACACTGAGCTGGCTCCTCATCCGTAGGCATATCTAAGTTCAGGTTAAGCGACCTCTTTTGAAGCATGCTTTAGAAGGTGTTGAAATATTGGTGGTGACTTGGTTAATAAAATGTGTAAGTTCCCTTCCATGGCCCACCAGTAGTTCCACTCCTAAAAAGTTCATTCTGAGGAAGTAATCTGAGTAAAGTTTCATGCACAAGATGATTATTGCAAAATTATTTATTTTGACTAAGAATGTGAAAAATCCAAATACCCAAGTGAAAAATAAATGATACACCCCTACCATGAAATACTATGCAAGTCATTAAAAATGTTGATGCACGTGTGTTTGACATGGAACGATAATCACAACACATTACTAAATGAAAATACAGATTATTAAAATATGTATTATACTGTTTCATTTCATTTTTTTAAACAAAAGAGGTATTTAAAATATTTGCATTAAAATAGCCTTAGGAAAATATGCTTCAAGTATTCATAGTGGTTATCTCTAGATAGTAAGTTTTGGGGCAAATTTAATCCTTTTTCTTGGTTTGTATTTTATAATTTTTCTCTAAAGAGTGATACTTACTTGTGTAGTAGTAACAGGCGTACAAGGTCCTAACAGAGCTCAGAGGTTCTGTCAACTGCTGGGATGAAGAAAGGACAGAATTTGAGGTGAATGGAGAAGGCTGGTGACCCCAGACCCATCCTGTCTCCCCTGCAGCTGAGATCCAGGAGCATGGCAGAACTCCAAAGGCTCAGAAAAAGAGGGGCCTCAAAACAGCCAGACCTGGTGAGGTGAAGCCCTCAGGAGCCCCAAGCGGGAGAAAACCCAAATCGGACCAGAGCCAGAAGCCTCTGCAGAAGAAGACGCCTTCGGTGGTTGCAACCCCCGGTCCCCCGGCCTCCTCCATCCTGACCCAGGTGTTAGGGCGGGGCCACTTCCAGAAGGTGGAGGACTCTCTGAGCCTACGTGCTGGGGAGCCCCTGGAGCTGCGCTGCCGGGGGAAGGTGGTCCATTGGAGGGTGCCTGTATACCTGGAAGAGGAGGGCGAGGGACGCCTGAGGTACGGGGTGGAGAGCTCCCGGAACAGCCTGAATGGGTCCAGGGCTGGTTCAGGGGAGGTTGGGCAGCAGTTTATAAGCACTTTCACAGCTTTTATAGGGATTAAAATGGCCCAGAACCCACACTGGCCATCCCGTTATATACAACAATAGGCACCCAAAAGAAACAGTAAGATGGGCTCCCAAGACCCATCAGATGCATAGTGGTTTTACGGAATGGGAGACAAAAGGCTTCCCGAAATCCTGGGATGTCTTTTCTGGAGCCAGCAAATAGTGCCTGTAAGGTGGCAAAAAGAGGATGACTGTCCAACCTACCTGTGCTTGGATGTCAGGCTGGAGGCCACCCTTCTGTCAGGGGAGCCATCAAAGGGAAGCCAGACATGAAGGGAAAGTTGGCCCCACAAGCATGGCCCGCCAGAGTCCAGAAGAAAATCAGGCAGAAGTTGGGATATAAAATTGGGTTCAGAAGATTTGTCTACTTTCTCTCAATTCAGCCACTTAAAGTGAAATTCCCTGGGACTCTGCCTCCTTCGGCAGGTGGAGGTGCTTCAAGGGCATTTGTTAGCCTGAACAAAGAGCCAAGGAGCACCGAGTGGTTTGGGGGACTCCACTTGCAATGTCTGGGCAAGGTCAATGGGAAGTAGATGGACCAATGAGAAATTGCTCAGGAGGCCAGTGGCATAGGCGAGCCAATCAGAAACTGTGGGTGGGGCCAGTACAAATGCTGACAGCTCCACCAGGGAAGCCGGGAAGACTTGGTAGGTGGGGCGATGAAAGTTGATGGGGAGGTTGGTCCACCGACCAGATGCTGCCACTGTGTGCCTCAGGCCATCCCCGTCTCCTGCCCGCCCCGGCCCACCCCTACTGACTTTCTTTCAGAATCAAGCACTTCAGCCAGCACAGTCGGTTACAGCTGGTGAACTCCACGGGCGCGGACACAGGGGAATACAGCTGCTGGACTCGGCACTGCCAGGACGCCCAGTGCTCGGAAGGCGAGGACCACCAGGGAAAGACCTTCATCTTCTTCACAGGTGCCCGGGGAGTCAGGGTCTGGGAAAGTCTTCCAAACATAATTGTCTTCCGTCTTTCCCTTTAGTCCCATTTTGAAAATGAGGGAATTGCCGTCGCTGTTCTTCAAGATCCTTCTTGTGACATTCTGGGATTCTATGGCTAATGCCACGTAGAACTGAAAAGCCAGAGTCCAGCTTTGTTCAACAGAGGGAATAGATGACTCTTCTAGACTCAGCAGTGTCCCCCTGACTCAAATCCAACCACAGTGGTAATGATCACCCAGTCTAGAGGTTGTGAGCCCGGTATTAGCCTTGCCCGTTAAAAGCACAGATTCCTGGGCCCCATGCCTGTTAAGTCTGGAACCCTGGAATGCCAACAAATCCTGGTGATTTTGTCTTCGGGAAGCTCTGGGAAGCAGCAGCCAGTGCTTCCCAACTCTGGTTGCCCATTAGGGTCACCTGTGGTGCTTTAAAACTACCGATGCCTGCCCCACTCCCCAAGTTCTGATTTACTTAGTTGTGGGGTGGTGGCCAGGAATTGGTTATGTTAAAAGTACCTCAAGTGATTGTAACGTTCAACCAAAGTTAACCATTGCATTTGCCTAACTCTAGAGCCACTTCATCTAATATAGAAGCCACTGAACCCATGTGGCTATTTAAATCTAAATTAATTTAAATGAAATAAAGTTTAAAAATTTCAGCTCCGCAGTTGCACGAGCCACATTTGAAGTGCCTGATAGCCACATATGGCTAGTGGTTACATATGAGACAACACATATGAAGAACATTTCCATCATGACAGAAAGTTCTATCCGACAGCACTGCTCTAGAAAGCTGGTCCCCAGGTAATTCCTACTCACTGCACCATTGTGCACCCAGGACTCTGACCTGAGACTGTCAGTGAAAGTACCTTGAAAGAGTTTGATGAATGTTTGCCTCCCACAGGCCTTGGGCCTCAGATCCAGTATCCCATTTGCTTCTTATCAGCTCGGCAAAGTAGGCCCGAATAGGATTATTGCTCCTACCTGACATATAAGAAGAACCAAGCCTCAGAGGAAAATAAATGCTTTGCTTAAGATCCCATAGCTAGTGGGTGGCAGGATTGGGAATCAAACCAGAAACCATGACTTCTAGTTCAGTACTTCCTCTAATACTTTTCACATAGAAGGACCCTCAGAGATCAAGCCATCTGAACCCCCCGTCATTGTACATACGAAGACACCAAAGACCATGGAGGAAAAGAGATTTAAGATGCACAGCAAGCTAATGACAAAGTCGGAACTGGTCTTCAGTCCCCTGTCCAGGACCCCTTACCAGAAAGGAAAGAGCATGGAGAATGGAGATGGGCAGGGAAAGTGGGACTTCAAGTCCCTGTGATGGACTTCCTGCTCATGGGTGGTGGTAGAGCACCAGGAAACAAATCTGCTCCAAGCTCATTCTTTTCTCTCCCTCCTTCCTTCCCAGACCCAGAAGAGCTCTTTGTCCCCACAGAGAATTATTATGAGGTGGTGCAGTTACGCAGCCATCAACCAGTCCTGCTCCCCTGCCAGGTGACCAACCCCCTGGCCCAGGTGACGCTGCATCGGGAGTTCCCCCCGGAGGAGATCCCAGTGGATGGGACAGACATCTCCTTTGATGTGAAGAAGGGCTTCACCATCCACCGGCCCCGAGCTTCCTTGGCTGGTTCCCTCTTCTGCTTGGCCAGCCTAGGTGGCATGAGACAAATCTCTACCAAGTACATGCTGATCTACATCAACTGTGCGTGAGCCTAGGGCTCTGAGCGGGCAGGGCAGGGGAGGATATGGGGAGAGATGCCTCCTTTGGGAACCTCAGGATTATGGAGCTCTAAACAAACAACCACCTTTCAACAACACTTCATGTATTCAACCATCTTTTCCAGAGAGCCAGGCAAACAGCTATTGAGTTAGCTTGCATCAGTTCAGCCTGTCTACCCACTCATTCTCAATCAAGTCACATTATTCCATGCATCAATCCTCCCTCAAATCAACCATTCCATTCACCCACCCTCCATCAGATCAACTGTTCCATCATCTACCCATCCTCTATTAATTCATATACCCATTCACACATCCTCCTATCAATTCAACCACCTCAACCCTTCATCCTCTATCAATTCAACCACCTCAACTCTTCATCCTGTATGAATTTAACCATGTCACCCATTCCATTCAATCATTCTAACAATCAATTCAACATGTTTGTCCCTATGTCTCTCCCATCTTCTCCATGGCAGACCCATCTTCGTCCCCCAAACCCACCATCCAAGCTTCAGCAACATCAGTCCAACTGGGAGACAACTTCAGTGTGACCTGCACAGTTCTGAGCGAGCCGGAGATTGCTGTGGACTTCCGTTGGGAATATCCGGGGCAGAAGGTAAGCAGAGGGCAGAAGGTAAGCAGAGGGTAAGAAGAGGCTGTGAGTGTGTGTGCATGTGGTGGTGGTGTGTTGGGGCAGGGGCGTAGGAGTGAAGGATTAGGATGACGGCCAGGAGCCATCACAGTCAAATGGAACAAACTACTGCTTGACTGGAAATCCGATGAACCTGGATTCCAGCCTCAATTTTGATACTGCTTCTCTGAATGACCTTGGGCAAGTCGCTTCCCTTTTCTGGGCCTCAGTTTCCCCATCTGTCAAATAGAGCTACTTCTCAGGTCACTGTATAAAAATGTATAATTTGTTCCTTTGTTAATTTATCCAGTAATGATTGAGGACCCACCACATGCCAGACACTACTAGGTGCTGAGACTACAATGAAGAGTCAATGAGAGAGATAGCTTCTGCTCTCTGCAAACTTAGTCTAAATGGGGAGGAGGAAGTGGAAAGTGAACAAACATGATTTTTAGTTTGATGTAGTCTCATTCATTTCTTTCTTTTACTTCCCTTGCCTTTGGGGTCAAGTTCACAGAAACCCCTCTGAGACAAAGGTCCATAAGTTTAGTGCCTGTGCTTTCTTCTATTTTATTGTTTCAGGTCTTATATTCAAGTCTTTAATCCATTTGAATTAATTTTGTGTATGGTATAAGATAGCTATCTAATTTCATTCTTTCCAATTTTCCCAGCACCATTTTATTGAAAAGACTTTTCTTTCTCCATTGTATGTTTTTGGCTCCTTTGTTGAAAATTACCTGCCCATATACATGTGTGCTTATTTCTGTTCCATTGGTCTGTTTTTCTGCCAATACCATATTGTTTTGATTATTATAGATTTATAGTATAGTTTGAAGTCAGGGAGTGTGATACCTCCAGCTTTGTTCTTTTTTCTCAGGATTGCTTTGGCTATTCAGGTTGGTTTGTGGTTCTATACAAATTTGAGGATCTTTTTTTCCATTTTTTTGTGAAAAAATGTCATTCGTATTTTAATTTTCATTTATCTCTGTATCTTTTTTTTTTTTAAAAGATTTTTATTGGGGATTTGGGGGATGGGAACAGTGCTGGGGAATTGGGGGAAGGGGAACAGATAAGTTGCTGTCGTTTTGTTCTTCAGTCTAGTTGTGGAGGACGTCGTTTCACTGGCCTATGTTGGTATTATCATTGCGCTCTTCCCAGGTGAGGCAGTTGCTCACCGGCCACTGGACGGCCGCTCACGGCGGCTCTTGGCAGCTCACGAAAGCTCATGCCAGCTGCCAGCCAGCCCCACTGCAGCCTATGCCATCACCGGCAACTCACAGCAGCCCAGCTCCAGGTCGAGCTGTTGTTCACCATCTTAGCTGTAGAGGGCAGTGTCACTGGCCCTCATGTGGGATCCAAACTGGGGCCCTACTGCTCAGAGCTGGCGTCTCAAGCCAGTTGTTAACCAACGCGCCACTCGGCCGGCCCTTAACATTTCTTGTAATGCAGGCCTTGTGGTGGCAAATTTTTTCAGCTTTTGTTTGAGAAAGCCTTTATTTTTCCTCCATATATAAAAGATAACTTTGCTAGATATATAATTCAATCCAATATATTGAAAGAGGCTCACCTCTTTCAATATTTTGAATATTTCCTTCCACTCTCTCCTGTCTTGTTTCTATTGAGAAATATGATGATACTCTAATGGGATTTCCTTTGTAAGTTAGTCTTTTTTCCTCTGGCTGCCTTGAGAATTCTTTCTTTGTCATTTTTAATTTTAATTTTATTGGGGAACAGCCACGGTCATTGGTTACACATTGCTCTCATACTATAATGGCATAGCTGACTCCTTATGGAGGGCACAGCTCACAGTGGCCCATGTGGGGATCTAACTGGCAACCTTAGTGTTATCAGCATCGCTTTCTAACCAACTGAGCTAACCGGTCACCCCCTGTCATTGATTTTTAAAAGTTTGAATAAAATGTATCTCAGAGATCTTTTTCTGTTGATATAATTAGATGTCTCCTCTATTTTAAAATCCTGTTATTTCCATAGGCTTGGGAAGTTCTCATCAATGATTTCTTTGAATAAGCTCTCTGTTCCCTTCTTCTTCTCTTCTCCTGCTGGTATACCTGTTATCCTTAGTTTGCTCTTTCTGATGTAGTCAGATAGTTCTCCTAGAGCTCTTTCATTTTTTCTTTTCTTAGTTCTCTCTCTTCTTCCTCCAGGTTGTTCCTGGATTTCTATCTTTGAGCTCACTAATTCTCTCTTCCCTCTGATCTGTTGTATTTCCGTGCTTTCTAGTGCATTCCTCATCACATTTATGGAGTTCTTCAGCTCCAAAACTTGTTTGGTTCTTTTTTGTAGTTTCAGTCTCTTTGGTAAAGTATTCCTTTTGTTCATTAATTTTATTCCTGAGCTCATTTAAGTGCTTTCCTGAGTGTCCTTGAATATCACTGAGTTTCTTCATAACTGAAATCTTGAATTATCTGTCATTTAAATCAGTCTTCCGGGACTTTGAGTTTGGTTTCTGGAGACTTTTTATTTTCTTTCTGTGCTCCCGAGTTACCTTGGGTGTTCATGCTATTTGATGGATTGTTTCTCTGCCTGCACATTTGAGGTAGTGAACTCTTTTATTGTTTAGATAGTGTTTTGCCCCCAACAAATCAGCACATTGATAGGTAGTGTACTTTCTTTTGTTTTCCAGTAGATGGTGTTATGCCACATGTTTTCTCTTGTGGTCACCATTTGCATCTCTGGGCTCACAGTGGGCTCACAGTGGAGTGGTGTCACCTTGGTTGGGAAAATGCCACATACCTAGTCGAATGGTGGGTGACCCCTCTGTCACCAGCTTGCCTTGGTTACAAGGCATGACCACTGAGGTGGGGAACTCTTGTGGGAGGTGGGGAACTGCTTTTGTGAGTTCCCAGAGCTACTTCCTTTTTACTAACGTCTACTGGCCCCACGGTTTTTGGAGGCATCTCCACTGCCTCTACCAGGCTCTGCCAGGACAGGTAGGTCATGGGAGGCAAGTTTGTGATCTCGTGGCTCCACGTCCCTGCCAGCAATGACTGTTGGCACTGTGTTGTTTAAGCTTCCCGGCCACTTTTACCTGGCCCTGCCACAATGGGGAGAAGGGGAGATGCCTTTTCCCAGAGGGAAACTTCTTCTGCTCCTCTTACCCTCCAGGCCCTAGTGTGAAGGCTGAAGCCCAAATTCTCTACCATGATTGCTGGAGCCACAGTGGGCACCCAACTGCATCTGCAGCCACCATCTCTGTCTTTCCCCCATCCTGCCTCCCCTCCTTGTTCCAATACACCCACCTTCAGATGTCCCAATGCGTGAATCTTTCAGGCGTGTTTGTGTGTCAAGCAGGGGAGCCTTTGTTGAATTATAGTTGTACAATTTGTAAATTTAAGGGGAGAAATAAAGGTGCCCTGTCACTCAGCCATGATGGAGACATCACTTTAGGAATTCTTAAAAGGGCTTCCTGGAAGAGCTGGAATTTGACATGAGCCTTGGAGGGAGGGCTGGACCCAGCAAAAATGTGATGAAAGTGAGCCCCTAGAGGCCTTAGGATGTAGAAACAGTGTGTGTGTGTGTGTGTGTGTGTGTGTGTGTGTGTGTGTGTGTGTGTGTGTGTGTGTGTTGGGGTGGGGGGGTGTCATTCTCTCACTTGTCAAAAGTAAAAGCTGAGACCCAAAAGGGGAAATAACATGCAAATGGTTGGGAGACAATGGCTTCACTGTGCCAGCAGCTCCCCAAACATGTTCTTTGGAATGGCAGAATACCAAAACATCCTTCCCCACTAAAAAAAGTGTTTTTTGAAAAACACTGCTTCTTATAACCATAACATGCCTTGGAGATTCAAAGCTCACCTGACAGACTCAGTGGTCTGAGTCTCCCCAACTTAACTTTGTTCGACTCAGTGTTTCCCAATTTTGATAATGGACCTCCAACTTCCCCACCCTTGGAAGAGGGAATACCCATTAATGTCCCCACAGAACCAGAGTGCCACAACACCCACACTGGGAGGTGCTGCTCGAGGCTAAGTTATCTCCCACATCTCCATGAGTAGGGGAGGAGACCTCAGCTTCTCTCCAGGGACTTGAGAAGCTTCACGTTTTCCACAAAGTACCTGGCCTTTCAGGTGCTCTGACACTGAGGTATGATCTTGGGCAAGTCACTTTCCCTTTACCTGAAGGACACATGGTGCCTCTTACCTGCCCACTGGTGCCCAAGTCAGAGACAGCATCTGGGGCAGCTGACAGACAGTTATCTTTTGTCCCTGCAGCTGGGCCGACCCCCCTACATCAGCGAGTGGGCCGACGTGGTACGCCGAAAGGGCCAGGTACAGCAGGAGGCAGGAAGCACCCTGTATGTGGAAGAGGCCCGGGCTGGGGATGCTGGCGTCTACATCTGCCGTGCCACCAACCTTCAGGGCACTGGGACTGCCACCACCCGTGTCCGTGTGACCCGAAACCCTGGTGTCTCTCCTGCCCCTTCCTAGCTCCCTCCTCGGCTGCAGGCATCTGGGCGTGGAGGAGTGGGCAGCAGTGGGTGTAGGTAACTGTGTGAACGCTGGTGTTTTTTATGCCAAGGAGGTGCCCTCGCAGGGCAGGAATAACCTTAGCCTTCACCCCTTACACTCTCCAATCCCTGTTTTCACCCCTCACTTCAACTTCACTGCCTCATTCCAAGCCCTGACCTGTTCTGACAGCCAGCCTTTTCTCCAACCTCCTGAGGCTGGGCAAATCTAGGGCCAGTGGGGCACCAGTACCCAAGGAGGGAGCCCAGAACCACTGTGAGTCACCCAGGCCCCTGGACTTATTCCTCAAAGATGCCTGCCTTTAGCAGAGGTCATCATGAAGACCCACCTCCACCCTCTCCCAGGAAAACACAGAGGCCAAGTAAAAATGATACTGTGCATTCTATTTGGTTTCCATAGCTTGTCTGCCCCAGGATGAGATTATGACCACAGTTTATCTCCTTTCATCCATCACAGGCTACATGAGGGAAACCCTGTTCCCCACAACTTGTCCCTTCTCCAGCTCAGCCCCTCCAATTAAAACAATGCTTTCTAAAGGGCATTCTGCAGCCTGAAGTGCTGGGTTTGGGGTAGAAACTTGGTCAAAGAAGTTTAGAAATGCTGAATACTTTGCTTCCTTCTTGGGAATTTGCAATGTATGTTAGCATATTAAAGGTTCTGAGAAGTCCTGCAGTTTGCAGATCCATTTAATTTGATTGAATCTAGAGTTTCTCAACTTATTTGGCCACTGATTCTTTTCTTGGTTGTGCCTACTAATGTGCAATGATCTAGTGTATCCTACACAGGCTTTGGGAAAAGTTATGTGAAGAAGTATGTCTGTCCTTCACTCCTGAGCTGCCCTAGTCTCCTGGAGTACCTGTTTATCCATGACAAAGATGCAGCTCTGTAGTCCCCTAGCCCTGCTGAACTCCCAGAACTAGAAATGGATGAAGAAGGCAGTCTGGGACGATGGTGGAGACTGACTTTTCCTGCGTGCTGGCCCAGGGCTGGGGGCTGGAGCTTGGGGTGCCTGAGGCAAGGTCCTTCAGTAAGTTTGATCTCAGTCTGATCTGCCACTGAAATGGGGTAAGAACCTGCTTCAAGGATCTCATGCAGATCAGAGGAGGGAGGTGTCTGTGAAAGCATTTAATTAAAATGCTCTATGCAGGGGAAAGTTATTATTACGGCCTCCTGCTGACCTGAAGCTTCTTGAAAAGAATCTTAACTTCACAGATGTCAGGGCTGGACAGACCTGCTGAGGTGAGTTACTCCAGCCACCCCTTCACACTGATGGGAAGCGGAGGGCCAGGTTCTAGGGACCTGGGATCAGGGGTATTAGAAGGAGTGAAGGTGGGGAGCAGGAGAGAAAACAAGACTGGAAATGGGCGGGGGCCAGAGAGAGGAAGGAGGAGAAAGACTGTCACAGATGTGATCTTCCCAGAGCCTGGGGAGAAAGAAAAAGCACAAGACCTCGATGACGGATGAGGTCCCAGTCCCGGCTTTGTGAGTCCTACTCCCCACCTCGGGTTTTCTCATCTGTTCAGGGGTGAGGTTCTAGCCCTGGCTGTGGAGTGGACTCAGACTCACTAGGTGGCCCCAGTGGCACTGAGACTAAGGGACCAGGAGGGCTGAGGAGTGAGCTTTGCCTGGTCAAGGAGGAGGGGCTCTGGCCATTACCCCTGGGCCAACCAGACTAGGGGACAAAGAGCAGCGGCATGCGAATGCCCTGCCTTGGCTGGGTTGGCCCCTGGCACTGCCAGCCCCAAGGGCCTCGTGAGCCCCTCCCAGCCGCTCGCTTTTCCCAGTTGATTCACAGGGTTTGGCCCACTTCCTCCCATCCCCCAGCTCCATGTCTGACCTTCACACAATCCTAGAATGGGACACTATAGTAACTCAAGAGTCATTTGTTCAGTTCCCGCAACTGTGTAAGAGGACCAGTAAACTGAGGCTGAGAGAAGGCCAAGGCAGAAGTGGGGACATCTAGGAGTAAGTTTATGAGCTGGCAGCAAAGCTGACAAGGTAGGACCAGGAGGTTGTGTCTTCTTTGTCAGGTGGCCAAAGCAGCACAGGCTCCCCCTGGGAAAAGCCTCAGAACTCCCCGATTTGAAGAGAGAGAGGGGGGAGGAAGAAAAAGGCTCCTTTTGCTGTATTCCCTGGGCCAACTCAAGGGAAGGCACTCCTCGGGGCCTCCAAAGCCCCATGGGTAGTTTCATGTGACCTAAGCCCCCAGGGCTCACGGGCACACACTCTGGCTCCTGTCTCACTCCGGCCCTCATGGCCTCCTGGGAGAAGAACGAGAGGCTCTTGCTGTCTTCTCTCGAAAGTCCTGGAGAGGGAGCTGTGAGCACAGATGTCATGGCTGCCCAGGCCCTGAGCCTATGTGGCCAAGAAGGAGACTTCGGTAGGGGTGACTGAGGCCAGGGGGAAGGCGGAGGAGGCATCAGCCCCAAGGACCCGGTACAGCAGTTCCTCCTTCTCCTGCTGGAGCTGTCGCCTTAACTGCGACTCCTTCTCCAGGGCCTCGCGGGCAAGAAGCAGGTCCTCCGAGAGCTGCCTGTGGATGCAGACAGGGGCCAGGGTTGCCTCTCAGGGTCTCTAGTGACTACAGAGAGCAACCCAGCCTCTAGGGCGTCTTCCTTAGGCGGGCCACCAGCCTGCTCAAGGGTCCCCACCATCCCATCTTGCCCCGTCAAATGCAAGAAGTGATTCACTCTGTTGACCAAGGAGCATGGTCCTCACAGGCAGGTTGCTCCAGGTTCAAATCTGCCCTGTCACCTAGCCATGGAATCTTGGACAAGTTCTTTCCTCTTGTCGAATTTCAGTTTCCTCATTTGTAAAATGGGGATGAGAATAACAGGACTCAGCTCTTAAAGTAATTATGAGATTTAGATGAGAGCATATGTAAAGTATTCAATAGATTCTGTCTGACACATGATATGAGCTCTCATTTACGAAGCCCTTAGAACTGGATCATTTATATTCATTCATTCATTCATTCATTCAGCCTCTTGAGCTATACGTTTCCTGTTCCCTCTTCCCAGATTGGGCTTTCCCATGGAGCCTACTCAGCCAGGATGGGGACAAACAGATACGAACTGGGGCCTTTGATTTAGGTTTCCAGGCAGAGCTGGTTCCGAGGGATACCCAACTCCCAAGACAGTGTGGGCCGACCTGTCAATCCATTACCCCCAGGCTTCTCTGAGACTCAACTGCAGATTTTGGCCAAAAGGGTGGGGACAGGAGGAAAGGAGGCAGAGGGACAGCTACCTTGACAGAGCCACCTGGTTACGGCCTCGGACATGGAGGTCCTCGTTCTCCTGTTGGAGGGTGGTGATCTTCTCTTCCAACATCAGGTTTTTTTCTTTCTGTAACAAATCAGAATGAGCTCAGAAAGCCAGCCAACTCACATGGCGCAATGCATGCCCTCACCTCCCTCGTATCTGTGGTCACTGAAAACACTGATTTATTCTAGACCAAATGTTGCATTTCATGGAGCAATAAGATTACTTAAAACAAAACAAAACAAAAAAACCAAGGGGTGAACAGAGGACTGCCAACTTTTAATTTTCCCACATGAGAATGTTAAAAAATGAATACAGCCACTATCATCTAATATCTCCATTAGTTCAAAAGAGAAAGGCTATTCTTTGTTCTCCAAAAGTCAAAAGGATATAACACATATAAACAAAATTAAGTGTGTCTGTTATGCTATGCCACCAAAATGGTTGAACAAAGTTTATAGGGAACATTTGAGATGGTCTGATTAAAATATAGGCTGTGTGGCACTCACAGGACCAGGGAGACTTCTTGCAGAGCAACATAATCTCTGTTCAGACTCAGCCCTAGGTTTCCAGGGCCTCCCTTCTCCTGGAGACAAAGCCATCTGTGTCCTCAATGCCTGCCACTCCCCAGGCCTGTTCTTGCTGACTCCGGCCTCCCATATCTGTCTGATTTTTCAGCCTTCCTCAGCCCCTGCCTGACATGTGACCTCTGCCAGCCCCTCCTGAGTAGCCAGGCTACCTGCCCTGGTGTCACCCAAGTTACAGCAACATGAGTAGCCAAGAAAATTACAGGATCCTGATGACAAAGAGCCACTGCTTGACCCAGACTGGCCACAGACTAACCTCAGTGGTCTCAAGGGCCAGCATGGGCGGCAGGTCAAAGCTGGTGGGAGCCTCATCAATGCTTCCACCCTCTGTACACTTTATAGAGGAAATGCCCAGAAAGCAGAAGCCTGAGGCTGCGCCCCCAGCCACTGCCCACTGCGTACCACTGTTTCCATAAGGATCAGCCGCTTGTCTAGCTCATGAATACGTTCATTCTTCATCTCGATGACAAAGTGCAAGCTCTCCAGCTCCTGCTCCCAGAACTGGCTGGGGCTCCCATAATCCTAGACAGGGACATAGAGTGACTTCATTAGACCAGCAGGCAGAGGGGTGCACACTACATCTCTCCTCCCCATTCTGCCTCCGATTTACATTTTCATTTACTGAAGTCATCTCCCCTTCTTGGCCCATGGAAAGTGCTTAATATACTTTATCTCCTTCTATCCAAGTAACACCCCTGAGGCATCACAGATGAGGAAACCTTGGCTCAGTCGGGTTAAGTCGCTTGTGCTAAGTGGTAGGTTTGCAACTAGTTCTCTCTGAATTCAGAGCCTGAGCACTTTACTATCCCATATGCTTCTCTTTGAGCCTTCCTTTCCCCCTCAGTGACATGGGGACCCTGTTTCTTCTAGTCCCTTGTGAAGGTAAGGGTGTCAGGTCTGCGCCCTGTCCTTGAAGAGGGACTGGTCTTTCTGGTTGCCCAGAACCTGACCTCCCTGGAGATTCCAGAAGGAAAGGCCCCCAGGTGTACTGCCACCTGCCTGGATGTGCTTCTTATAGTCTCGGCTCAGAATGGACTCCTCTACTCTCTTCATCTTGGCCTGGAAGGCCTCCAGCTGTGAGGTCAGTCCATCAATGGTCTCCTAGAGAAGGGGACAGGAAAGAGATGATCAAAGCCTGGTTTGTAAAGGCTGTAGGTGGACTTTACGTCCCAGAGAGGGGTCAATTTTGGATTCTTCAGTCTGTTTTTGCTCTGAGCTAAACAACAATGCAGGCTTAAACCACTTCAACGAGTGCTTGAAACATGCTAGTCCCACCCCTTGTTCTAAAGCCTTTAATAACTCTTCAATAGTCTTGGGCACAATGTCCTGGGATTCAGGGCTGTTGTTAGCTTGGCATTCAAAGTACATCCAAACTGGGCTCCATACGCTCTCCCAGTCTCATCTCTCACTGCTCCCCTCTACACACCTTCTCCTGCAGCCAAATATCCCATCACTCCTCCAACTTCAAGGTGCATCCTTGTCTCCATGGTTTCCCCTGCTAAGAATTTCGTCTACCCCAACCTTGCCCATTACCTTTAGGATAGAGTGAAACCCCTTAGTGTGGCTTACCGGCTCCCCACATTGTAGCCCTTGCCTACCTCTCTAGCCTCTCTAGCTCTCTCTCCCACTCATACTCTATACCCCAGGCACCTTGGATGTCTTTCAGTTCCACAGGTATTCCATATTTCCCCCCTTCCCTCCATGACTTTAAACACTCAGTTTGTTTGTTTTTTTCTTTTGCCTAAGGCATCCTTCTTACCCTTCTTTATCTGAAGAATTCCAATTCATCCTTCAGGCTCTGGCTTAGCGCTCACTCCCTTTGGGAACCCCTGACCAGACAAATTGGGTCAGATGTCTTCTTTCATGCTCTCTGTGCATCCACCCACCAGCCAGATCACACTGTGGCACCCGGCCCACGAAGTCTCTAAGATCCTCCCAATAGTCCTTGGAAAGCTAGACCAGCCCTGATCTCAAACCAAGTCCTCTTGAGCTCATAGCCTGGCTGCCACACCAAGGGGCCTATATACATGGCAGACAATCATCACTGTCCCTCACACCTAGGTAGGGGCCATCATCTTTGACTGTTTTGGGGCTCCGTGCTTTCCTACAGGTGCTCCTCTACTCTCACAGAGACTGTCATGGCCTAACTCCTCTCACCTGCAGGACCATCTTGGCCTCTTGGAAGGAATGAGTAAGGGCTTCTTTCTCCTGCTCATACGAGGCCCGGAGGTCTGTAGGGAAAGGAGACCTCTGTGAGTTCAGACACCCAGACACTTCACCTTAAAGCCTTCTGGCAGACCCCATGAGGGCCAGAGAGCGCAGGTGACCACCTGGGGCTCATACGGACCAGGTGTCTGGAAATCCTCCTATTCATCCTTCTAGCTCATGGGCTTGGCCCTGTGCCAGAAATACAGTAGCTATTTAATAAAAGGTCATGGAAATGGAAACAAATTATATCCTGGGAGGAACTGTGAACCCTACCAGATTGTGGGTACTACCCACACCACGCTGAGGCTAAGATCCAAAGGTCTCGCAGCAAGCTTGTTCATCTTAAACCACAGCATGATATGAAAAATGCATAGGGCCAGTGTTTTGTAAGCTGGGTGAGACAAGTTATGAAATCATCAAATCATTAGCTGTCAAACCATGGCACAAAACTGCAGTAAGGTCATTAGCTTTGGGGCCAGGAAGTCTACCTGGTCCTGATTCTACTTCTTCGAAACTGAGAAACTTTGAAGAGATCACTTGAAATATCTAGAAATCCTGTTACCTCAACTGTGAAATGGGTCAATAAGCCTGGCCTCGTTGTCTCTAAGGGCAAGAAAAGGACATGTGAGGGTTTTCCAGGCTGGGCAGTACTATGTAGAGCTGGACTTATTATTCCCCAAATCAATACAGTTATATTTTCTATCCCACCTCCTCTACAAAGTGCCTTCTGGAAAATTTCAACCTTGTCTCAACTGAAAGAAGATAACACAGAAATGACCAATCAGGGGTGGGATGGGAAATAGGATAGAGAGGACAGAAAAGTTTAATACAGCCACAGGGCCAGGTACACAAGGGGCCTGTGTCAGGGTGGGCAGTGACACAGAGAAAAGAATGTTCAGTAATAGAAATGTGATAGAGGGTCGGCCGAGTGGCGCGATGGTTAAGAACTGGCTTGGGACGCCAGAGGGCCCCAGTTCGGATCCCACATATGAGGGCCAGTGACACTGCCCTCTACAGCTAAGATGCTGAACAACAGCTCAACCTGGAGCTGGGCTTCCGTGAATCGCGGTCGATGGTGTAGGCTGCAGCCCCTGTGGCAGTGGGTTGCCATGGGCTACCGTGTGTAGCCAGCAGCCAGCAGCCAGTGTGAGAGGCCAGCAGCAGCCATGAGCGGACATCCAGAAGCCGGCGACTGATCTGCCTCACCCGGGAAGAGCGCAATGATGGTGCCAACTTGGGCCAGTGAAGCAACGTCCTCCACAACTAGACTGAAGAACAAAACGACAGCAACTTGTCTGTTCCCCTCCCCTCAATTCCCCAGCACTGTTCCCATCCCCCAATTCCCTGATTTAAAAAAACCAAAAAAACAAAAAACAATAAATGAAGTTAAAAAGTCACTGAATGGGCTCAATAGCAGAAGAGAGATGACATAGGAAAGGGCTAATGAAGTTGAAGACAAAGCAATAGAAATTATTCAAACTGAACAACAAAGAGAAAATATTGGAAAAAAATGAACAGAGCCTCAGAAACCTTTAAGACAATCCCAAAGTGTATAACATTTGTGTCATCAGGGTCTCAGAAAGAGAAGAGAAAGAGTGCAGTGTAGAAAAACTATTTGAAGAAAGAATGGTTCCCAAACCTGGCAAAACATAAACCTATAAAGATGCTCACTGAACTCCAAACAAGTAAACCCAAAGGAATTCAGACCCAGACACATCATTGTTGAAAACTAATAACAAAGAAAAAATCTGGAATGAAACCAGAGAAAAATAGTGTATTACTTACTTAGAGGAAACAAGAGTTTGAACGACTGGATTTCTCATTAGAAACCTTGGTGACTAGAAGGAATAAGAACATTTTAAAACTGCTGAAATAAAAGGACTGTAAATCCAGAATCCTATATCCAGTGAAAATATCCTTCAGGAAAGACGGTGGAATAAAGACATTCTCAGATACGGGAACACTAAAAGAATTCATCACCAGGAGACCTGCTCTAAAAAATATTGCTCAAGGACATTCTTCAGACAGAAGGTAATTGATACCAGATGTAAACTTGAAACTTCAGGAATACAGGAGGAGAAACACAACTGGTAAATACCTGGGTGACTATAATAGACTATTCTTCTTCCCTTGAGCTGTTTGAAATATGATTGACGGTTAAAAGCAAAAATTATAACATTGGGTATTCAATGTATGTAGATGTAAGACATAAGACAAGTACAAGAAAAAGGAGAGAGGACAGACAGACCTCTATGATGGTAAGGTTTCTACATTCTACTTGAAGTGGTAAAATATTAACTTAAGTAGACTGTTACATACATTGTAATTCTTAGAAAAATCAGTGGAGAGAGAGAGAGAGAGAGAGAGAGAGAGAGAGAGAGAGAGAGAGAATAGGTAACTTAAAAAAGAATACTAAAAATGTTCAAATAGTCCAAAAGAAAGCAGGAAAGCAAAAATAGAGGATAAAAAAAACAGAACAGATAAAAAGCAAATACCAAAATGACAGACCTAAATTCAATCATATCGATAACAACATTAAATTACATTATCTAAACACACCAAATAACAGACTATATCTGAACGGACCGAAAAAAACCCAAACCAACGAACTATGTGCTATTTACAAGTAACCCACTTTAAATATATGTCATTTAAAAGTAAAAGGGTGGAAAATCAAAATTAATCAAAAGAAAGCTGTAGTGGCTATCTTATTTTCAGATGAAGTACACTTAAGAATAAGGGAGATTATCAGGGATGAAGTACGTTACATAACAATAAAGGGGTCAATTCTCCAAGAAGACATCCCAATCCTAAGTGTTGATACTCCTAACAATGGTTCTTCAAATCATATGAAGGAAAAACTGAAAACGGAAAGGAGAAATAGACAAATACATAATTATAGTTGAAAACTTCCACACTCCTCAGTATTCAATAGAAAAAACAAGCAGAAAATCAGTAAGAATATAACAGTGCTGAGTTAGACCATCACCTAACTGGATTTAATTGATTCACTTATAAAGTACTCAGTCCAACAATAGCAGAATACACATTCTTTTCAAGTGCACATGAAACATTCACAAGATAGATCATATCCTGAGTCATAAAACAAACCTTAACAAATTACGAAAGCAGCGAAATATAAACTATGTTCTCTAATCATAATGGAATCAAACTGGAAATCAGTAACAAAAAGAGAACTGGAAACTCTCCCACCATTTAGCAGGAAATATACTTCCAAATATTCAATGAGCCAAAGAGGAAGTCTCAAGGGAAATTAGAAAATATTTTGAACTGGACAAAAATAAAAATACAAAATGCCAATTTGTGGAATGCAGATAATGCTGTGCTAGGGGGAAATTTATGGCACTAAGTGCTTATATTAGAAAAGGAGAAAGGTCTCAAATCCATAATCTAGGCTCCTTGTTTAAGAAATAAATAATAATAATAATAATAATAATAATAATAATAATAAAGATCTAACTAAGCATAAAACAAGTAAGCAGACGGAAGGAAATAAAAATAACAGAAATCAATGAGATTGAAAAATGGAAAAAAAATGAATAAAACCAAAAGCTCATTCTTTGAAAGGATGAATAAAATTGATAAACCTCAAGCAAGACTGACAATGAGAACCAGAGAACACACAAATTACCAGAGGGAATATCACTACAGGCACAAAAGAAATTTAGAACAGTATTAAGGGACTACTACAAACAATTCTATGCACATAAACTTGACAACTTAGAGAAAATGTACCCATTCCTGAAAAACTACAAACTACCAACACTCACCCATGGTAAAATACATTAACTGGACATTCCTATAACTATGAAAAACTTTGAATTTATAGTTAAACACTTTCTGGAAAAGAAATAGCCAAGCACAGATGATTTCCTTGCAAATTCTACTAAACATTTAAAAATGATATAATACCAATTCTATACCCTTCCAGAAACAGAAGAGGAGAGGACATTTTTTAACTCATTTCACGAGGCAAGCTTTATCCTGATACTAAACCAGATACAGGATACAAGAAAACTACAGACCAACATCCCTCATGAAAACACACAAAAATGTTCAGTAAAATATTAGCAAATCAAATTCAGCAATATATGAAAAAAAATAATGTGCCATGACTAAGTGGGGCTTATGCCAGGAATGCGAAGCTAGGAATGCAATATTTGAAAACTCAAATCAATATAATCCACCATATTAACAGCCTGAAGAAGAAAAACCTCATCATTATATGAATCATAGGTCTAAATGTAAAACTGAAAACTAAAAATTTTAGAAGACAACATAGGAGACAATCTCTGTTACCTGGGGTTCAGCAAAGAGTTTTGATATGACACCAAAGCATAATCAATAAAAGAAAAAATAATAAATTGGAATTTATCAAAATGAAAAGCTTTGCTTTGTGAAGGACACTGTTAAGAGAATGAACAAACACCCCACTGACTAGGAGAAAATAATTGCAAATACAAAGGACTTGTATTAAAAAATAAAATAAAATAAAGATCTCTCTGGGCCGGCCAAGTGGTGCGTTGTTTAAGAGCTGGCTTGGGATGCCACAGGGCCCCAGTTCAGATCCCACATATGAGGGCCAGTGACGCTGCCCTCTACAGCTAAGATGCTGAACAACAGCTCAACCTGGAGCTGGGCTGCCGTGATTCGCCGGCGA